TCTCGGTCGCTGATGATCACCGCTGGTATCCCGTGCAGCCGAACGACGGTGGAGATGAAGAGACGTGTTGTTACTTCGGCTGTGATTGATTTTTTGCATGCTGCGAAGTGTGCCATTTTCGTCAGTCGATCGACGACGACCAGGATCGTGTCGTTCCCACTTGGCCCGGCCGGTAAACCCGTGACAAAATCCATCGTCACCTACAGCCGAGCACGCTCTGGGGGTGGTATCGGCTACAACTCTCCTGCCGGCCGCTTCCGTGATGATTTCATGAGCTGGCAAGTGGGACACGATGCCACGTGTCGTTGTACGTCGGTCAACATCTCGGGCCAGTAATAGTACCGCTGCAGCTGCTGCCGTGTTTTCTCTACCCCGAAATGCCCTGAGGTAACTCGGCCGTGTGCCTCCTATAACAGTAACTCCTGTAGCAATTGTGTATCCTGGTACCCAGATGCGGTCGGTCCCGGCTTTTACATAATAGACTCCCTTTGCTGCTGCAAACTGCTGCGAATTTTCTCCTGTGAAGAATGGGTCCGTTTGGTACCCGTGGGTGAATAGGCCTGTCAATAGTGGATTTGTCTGGGCGAGTAGTATTGCGTGAATCTGGGCAGCGGGGCGAGTCAGGGCGTCAGTGATGTTCGATGCCCCCTTTTTGTAGGTGACTGTGTAGTGGAAATTTGACTCGAGGAAATCGAGCCAGCGGATCTGTCGTGGGTTGAGGTGTGGCTGTGCGAGGAGGTACTGTAGTGATTTATGGTCTGTCCGTACTGTCACGTCTGCGCCGGTCAAGTAACAGCGCCATACTTTGAACGCGTGCACGATCGCAAGCATTTTGCGGCCGTGTATCGGGTAATTTTTCTCGGGCAGATGCAGTTTGCGTGACTCGTATGCGTGTGAGAAATGAGGAATGATTGCATTGAGCAGCATGAGGAGTACTAGGAAACCCTAAAGTGCTGTACACCATATAGACTACCCCACTACAGCCTAAACAAACTACAGCATATAAGTTCGACACACCCCCATATGCAAAGTGGGGGAGAACAAGGGGTCACAAGACCAGTCAAGAGAAACAAGGCAAGCCCAGGGTGGATCACAACGTCACCACACAATCTGAGCACAAGCACAAGGCCACAAGGCCAGTTCACATGCAGAGTTATATACCAAGATGAACAAACAGAGCAGTGATCTCAATCTAGCAAAGGTAAGCATGCAACTGCAGGTATATATAGATCACAGTACAAGCAAAGTCAAGAAGTGAGCAAGTGAGGTCAAGTAGGCACAAGACCCAGCAAAGTACAAAAGCGCTGATGATCACAAGTCGGAAGTGCCTTGGTAAAGATATCAGCAGTGTTGGCCTCAGAGGCCACGTAAGCAAGGCGCAGCTGACCGCGCTGCTGCAGCTCACGAGCAAGGAATTAGCGAAGAGCAATGTGCTTCGTTCTGTGCTCCAGTCTGTGCTCCCGACACAAGGCCAACATGGCCTTGTTGTCTACGTACAGAACTGGAGGAGAACAAGGCGGCTCTCCTAGGTCAATCAGTAGGTAGGTGAGCCAGCGTAGCTCCTATGCAGCCATGGCCCCTGCGTAGATCTTGGCCTCACGGCTGGAGCCGAGAACAGAAGACGGGCGGGTAGACCGCAACGAGACAGAGCCGGAACCAAGATTGAAGGTGTAACCCTGTGACGACCGCTGCGTAGCCTGGTCGTCAGCCCAAGAAGCGTCTGCGTGACCTGTGAGGACCACTGGACGTCGCCCTCCAAGCACTAGCCCCATGCCCGACATACTGCACAAGTAGCGCAACACCCTCTTTGCTGTAGCCATGTGCTCTGGTCGGTGTCTCCCAGGAGCCACATAGCATGCCAAGATGCTAAGAGGGTATGCTAGGTCAGGTCGTGTGCAAGTCATCAGGTACATGAGGCACCCAACAAGCTCTGGGTATGGGCCACTCGGCTCTATGGACTCATCCGAAGGCAGAGCTGAGAGCGAGTGGCGAGTAGACAAAGGAGTGGCCTGAGGCGAGGAGTACGTGAAGTCGAAGCGCTGAAGGACCAGCTGCACCATGTGTGACTGAGTCAGGGTAATGGTGCGCTGTGCTCTGTCCCAGGTGATCTGCAAGCCAAGGTAGCTGCGCAGTTCACCCAGGTCTGTGCACGTGTGTCTCTTCTGCAGCTCGGCCTTCACGTAGGCGAGTCCAGCAGTGTCAGCAGTGGCAAAGACCAAGTCATCGACATACACGAGGATGTAGAACGGCGGCAAAGAGGTGTCGGTGCGCAGAAACAGCGACGGGTCGGCTGTAGAAGGAGCAAACCCAAGAGCCGCAAGTGTAGTCCTCAGTGTGTCATGCCACTCACGGGGCGCCTGGCGGAGACCGTAGACTGGCCGCTGGAGGCTCCACCGGGTACCAGGGGGGAACGACCCAGTCAAGCCAGGTGGGCGGCGCAGCCAGATCTCCTCGTGCATGCTGCCGTGCAAGAAAGGTGTGCCAAAGTCAAGAGAGTGAAGCTCGTAGTCGAGCTAAGCGGCTATGTGCAGCAGCACCCGAAGAGTGGTCATCTTCGGGGTAGGGGAGAAGGTCTGAAAGTAGTCAACTCCCTGCCGCTGACTGAAGCCTCGAGCCACGTAATGCGCCTTGAAGACAGGCAGAGAACCCGGCGGCCGCTTCACCCAGAAAATCCACATGGCACTGACGATGTTCGCCCCATATGGGGGAACCTCGTCGACGTAGATGCCTGTGGACTTTCAGGAAGCCATCTCTGCGTCCATGGCTGACTGCCACTGTGAGGAGTAGGGACCCTCGATCGCCTCAGCGTACGATCGAGGAGTCGGGATGTGTGGTGCATCCGGGTCTCCCTCAGGCAATCAGCGTGGACACGAGATGAGGCAAAGCAGCAGCAAAACACTGGAACTCCTCCTGCCTGTCCTCAAGGACGTAAATGCTAAGAGCACACTCACCCCCGACGGACGAAGGACAGACAGACTCAGACTCAGCAACAAGACTAGCAGCGTAGTCTAGACAACAACGAGCAGCAAAGTTGACAAGCTCAGCAACTAAGGCAGACGTAGCAGTGGACTCAAAGGAAGGGTTAGTGACAACAGTAGCCAGGAGACGCGTGACAGTAGGACTGGCAGCATGAAGAGAGTCTGACTCCGGGTCAGCAAGAGTAGGAAGAGAGGACTCTGGAGGAGACGGCAACGGGACACGCAGAGGAGCAGTGGAAGGACGCAGTGCCATCTGGTGTGTGCTAGGGACCGCAGGAGGACGCGGATGCGGAGCACGACCACTAGTGCGAGCAGCACGAATAGGCGACGCAGGACGAGACGCAGGCTCACGACGCTCAGCAAGACCTCCTGTAGGACCAGTGTAGGGAGACAGAGCATGCAGGGGGGAGGCGGGCTGTAACTGTTACCGCGACTGGACAGGCTGTGGACACGCTAAGGGAGGAATTGACCAGTAGAGGGTGGGAGACCAAGAACCTGCTCAAGGAGCGGAATGAAGTACGGCCTCGGCCGCGCAGCGCCTCTAGAACCAGTAGGGACAGCACCAGTACCTCCAGCGGTAGCACCAGCACCAGCAGCACCTCCAGCTCCAACAACGCCAACTCCAGCACCCTCAGAAGCACCAGCGCCAGCAAAACCACCAGCGCTAACACCCCAAGCAGCTCCAGCTCCAGCAGCTCCAGCAGCACCAACTCCAGTAGGACCGTCACCTGAAGTACCGCCAGCAGCTCCCGTAGCTCCAGTAGCACCTCCAGCAGGACTCCCAGTCCCAGCAGCTCCAGAACCGCCAGGACGAGCACCTACCGGACCAGCAGCAACAGTAGTACCTCCAGCTCCAGCAGCACGGCTCCAGTGCCGGGCAAACCACTCGCGCAGCTCCTACGAAGAGAGTAGCTCCCGCCTCGACGAAGCACCGCCAGAGGCCACACAAGTAGACCCAGCACCCCCAGGCTCCGCACCCCCAGGCTCAGCACTCCCACGCTCCGCACCCCCAGGCTCAGCACCCCCAGGCTCCGCACCCCCAGGCTCAGCACCCCTAGGCTCAGCACCCCCAGACTCAGCACCCCCAGGCTCATTACCCCCAGGCTCCGCACCCCCAGAACCGGCACCCGCAGGCACAGCGCCCCTAGCAGCACCAGAGTCAACAGCTACCTCGACAGTCTCAACAGCGTCTACCTGGGACACACCAGACGGAGCAGGACCCTGAGGGGGGAGGGGGTCTACCGGGGGAGGACCTGGCGCAAGGAAGAGCAGCGGCGGGGGGAGGGGCGCAGTGCGGCAGGGGAAGAGACGGTAGTAAGGCACCGACTCGTCAAAGGTGACGTCCTAGGAGGACAGAACACGGCGCAAGGTGGGGTGGTAGAACTGCCAACAAGGCGCGTCAGGGGGGAAGCCAAGGAAGACGTAGGGAACAGCACGGGGGGACAGCTTGTCCGCATACAAGTCGCGGACAAACGCCCGAGATCCCCAGACCCGAAACGCAGACGCATCGCCAACCTTCCCCGTCCACCTCAAGGTGGGGGAGGTCTCTGGTAAGGAGACCCGGGGCTGAAGATTGAGCTGATGCGCCGCGTACTGAACCGCAAACGGCCACAGAAAATGGGGAGCAGCCGCATGGATCATGGACGTACGAGCGACGTCCATGACCATGCCAATGCGGCGCTCAGCAATCCCATTTTGCTGTGGAGAGGCCGCAAGCGTGAAGGTCTAGTGGATGCCCTATGCACGACAGAAGGCTCCCACACGGGCAGAGGAAAGCTCCCCGCCTCTGTCAGAGTGCTGACGCAGAACAGGAAAGTCCGAGCCGAAACTCTCTCTGAGCTGGAGACGAGCTGCAAGGATCCAGTCGATCAACACCTCAGTGACGTCACCCTTGCTGTACAAGGGGAACACCGTGGTGTAACGCGAGTAGTCTTCAACCACCAACAAGAAGTAACGCTCGTGACCCTGGCCACGGACGCGGGCGGGGCCCCACACGTCCATGTGAAGAGGCTGCAGGGGAGCCTATGTCGGAGGAAACTCGGAGGAGTGAGGAGCGGCGCGCTGCCGCCCCTCGACGCAGGGGACGCAGGTAGGGGCCGGCCCCTGAGGTAGGGGAGGGAGGGACAAGGGGAGACTAGAGACAAGGACACGGGAGGCCATGCCTCAGAGACGAGGCACGAAGGGGTGACCAAGGCGGTGGTGCCAAAGGAGAGTCAGGTGGGACAGGAGACGACACGAGCAAGGCGCAAACTCAGGACCAGACCTGGACGCTGCAGCAAATACTTGACTCGACGCAGCTACCTGACCAGACGCAGTAACAAGAGGAGACTCAGTTGTCAGTGTGTACGGGCTCGACCCCGGCTGACGGGTAAACGTGGCCAAGTGTCGGCCCGTTTGAGCACACGTACAGTGGGTCACCCGCTGACGCGCAGGTGTGAACTGGTCAACCCCCCGATCCTGTAGATCAGCTCCACTCACCAAGTTCGTAGAGAACAAGGGGAGGTAGAGACCAGAAAGGGTGCCAGAGGGGGCTGCCGAACACAGTAAGACAGTGGAGAAGCTAGCAAGGACAAGACCTCCAGAGGGGTCCGCCAGGGAGACCGCAACCGGCCGACTAAGTGGCGTAAGCGTGGTGCGGTCTCGAAAGAAGGAGCGGGAAGCACCCGAGTCAAGGGTAAGGGTGTGCAAGGCCTAAGCCGACGTGGTACCTGAGAGAGCAGACTCACCAGCACCTGGGGCAGCAGACGCACTAGCACCTGGAGCAGCAGTCTCACCAGCACCTAGAGCAGCAGCCTCAATGCCCGGGTCAGGCGGAACACACAGGTAACAGTCACCCTCATCGTCAGTAGACACAGCATGCATGGCAGCAAGAATAGCATCATAGTCAAGATCAAAGATAGCTGCCCCAGCCCTAGACAGCTCTCCCCAGCGAGGGATCTCAGTGGCGTCAGGGAACTGATGACGCCAAGCGTCCGTCATGCGGCCGAAGCAGCGCTGGGTGGAGTGCGTGCCCCCGCACTGCTCACCAGCACAGTCGCCTGTACGGAGGACGTAGGTGCAGGGACCAGTACCCCCACCCCGCTGACGCCCAGCGTACCACTCACGAAGCTGCTGAGGGTACAGGGTCTCAAGACCGCGCTGCTACTGCTGGCGCAGACCGCCACCTCCGTCGCCTCCGCCACCTCCGCCGCCTCCGCCACCGCCGCCGCCTCCGCTCCCTCCGCCACCACCGCCGCCTCCTCCGCCTCCACTGCTGCCACCGACACCTCCACCCCCGCCACCACTCCCACCACCACCCCCACCCCCTCCACTGCCTCCACCACCACCTCCACCGCCCCCACTGGCCCCCCCCTGCGCCCTTGCCCCCCCTTGCCCTTGCCGGTGCGGCACTTCTCGCTAGGGACAGACGCAGCGCCGACCGACTCGAAGCCAACGAGGTCGGCCGCAGCAGCAGGAGCAACAGAGGGCAAGAGGGGGGAGGGAGAACACCCCTCAAAGACAGGGGTGCGAGGGTCACCACGAGAGGCTCCTACAGCGACTATGCTCTTCTCTGCTGCTAGGAGGCGCTCCTCGAGGAGGTCAACGGTGAGTGTGGTGGGGCAAACTAAGAGGAAGTGGTCCCTGACTAAGCGAAGGGAGTCAGGGAGCCGGGTGACTATGTAGTAGAGGGTGATGTACATGGGGGGGGGGTTCTTGGCACAGAATTCAGCAGGATGCGCAGCGCGGTAGCGAGTGTCACTAGTGCGAAGGTGCGTAATGAGGTCAGCGACTGTGGGAAAGGCAGCAAGGTCAGAGAACAGGTACGGCAGCATGAGGCGGCTAAGCGCAGTAGTGGCAGCGGAAGAGTAGCGTGCAACTAGAGCGTCGTACAAGGTCTTAGCACTCTTGTACTGGCTAAATTGCACACGCTCAGTGGTCGGTAAGTGGCGACGCACAGCAAGACGTGCAGCAGCATCGCGCGTGGCCCACTGTGAGCGAACAGTGCTGTCAGCAGTAGCAGGCGGGGCAGGAGAGACACTAGAGGTGAGATCGAACAGAGAGAGTCCGTCTGCCCTATCGCACTGTAAGAACAGCTGGAGGTCATCGACCCAGACCTCAAAGTCAACAGCACGACCCTCAGTATCAAAGGTAAGGACACTGGGGGTAGCCATGTCTGCAGTGGTCTAGCAGGGAGTGAGCTCACCAGTCCAAGGAAGTAGGGCCGGGGCGCGTCGGACATGACAGTGGCGGCTCGACGGCAGGGCGGCTCGGCGGCTCGGCTGCTGGGCGACACGGCGGCTCGGCTGCAGGGCGGCCTGGCGGCTCGGCTGCTGGGTGGCTCGGCGGCTCGGCTGCTGGGCGGCTTGGCGGCTGAGCTGTCGGGCGCCTCGGCTGCTGGGCTGCTGGCGGCGTTGAAGGGGCCGGTAGAGACGGCGACGCGGCCGTGAAGAACGGCGACGGGGCCGCTAGGGGCGGCTACGGGGCCGCGAAGGGCGACGACGGGGCCGCAAAGGGTGGCGACGAGGCTGCTAGGGTCGGCGACGGGGTCGGTAGGGCGGCGACGGGGCCGGTAGGGCGGCAACGGGGCCGGTAGGGTCGGCGACGGGGCCGCTTAGGGCGGCCACGGGGCCGGTAGGGCAACGACGGGGCCGGTAGGGTCGGCGACAGGGCCGCTTAGGGCGGCAACGAGGCTGCTAGGGTCGGCGACGGGGCTGGTAGGGCGGCGACGGGGCCGCTAGGGTCGGCGACGGGGCCGGTAGGGTGGCGACGGGGCTGCTAAGGGCGGCGAGGTGGCCGCGAAGGGCGGCGACGGGGCCTCCCGGGGCGGGTGACGGGGCCGTTAGGGGCGGCGACCGGGTCGTAGAGGGGCCGGAAGGGCCTGGAGAGGCGGCGACGGGGCCTAGAGAGGCGGCGACGGGGCCGCGAAGGGGCCGCGAGGGGCCTAGATAGGCGGCGACGGGGCCGCTAAGGGGCCGCGACGGGCCTAGAGGCGCGACGACGGGGCCGTGAGAGGGGCCGCGAGGGGCCGCGAAAGGGGCCGCTAGGGAACTGACGAGGGCGCGACGGGCCGCTAAGGGCTAGGGACGCGACGGGAGGGAGGGCACACGGGGCTCGACTCGGGAAGGAGAGAAGCGCGCCCCGAGAAGAAAAAAATAAATTAGTGGTGGGCCCTTAGGAAGCGTTCCCACTAGGGAACCTGCTCTATACCATGTGAGAAATGAGGAATGATTGCATTGAGCAGCATGAGGAGTACAAGTAGGAAACCCTAAAGTGTTGTACCCCATATAGACTACCCCACTACAGCCTAAACATACTATAGCATATAAGTTCGACAATGCAATGGGCTGTAGGCCGTTGCCAAAGTCCTGTAGCAGTACGGCTCCTAGGGCGATGTCGCTTGCGTCGGTAACTATTTCGAATGGGCGGTGTGGGTCGGCGATGCGCAGGACGGGCGGTGAACAGAGAACATTTTTCAGGGCAGAGAAGGCAGCATGCTCTTTCTCCCCCCACGTAAAAGCGACCCCCTTACGTAACAAGTGCGTCAACGGCGCTGTTAACCTTGCCATGTTAGGGACGAACCGACACACGTAATTGACGAACCCCCAAAAGCTCTGTAGTTCCGTGATATTCGTCGGGGGGTGCCAGGCTTTCACCGTGTCCAACTTCTTTGGGTCAATTTTGACCCTAGCCTCCGAAATAACGTGCCCCAAAAACTCTAGCCTGTCCTTAAAAAACTCGCACTTAGAGCCCTTTGTTAGTAACCGGTTCTCGTCTAAAATTTGAAGGACTGCTTCCAGATCTGCTAAGTGCTGCTGCGTGTCTCGACTGTAGACGAGGATGTCGTGGAGGTAAACTATCACGCATTTATCTAAAAGTGGCCTAAACGCCTCGTTCATGGTCATCTGAAAAGTCGCTGGTGCGTTGGTCAGCCCGAAGGGCATCATGGTGTACTCGAACGACCCGTACCTAGTCCGGAAAGCTGTTTTGGCGCAGTCCGATGGTTTGACTCTAATCTGATGGTAGCCCCCCCTTAAATCTATTTTCGAGAAAACCCGTGCTGTTCGCAATCGGTCGATGTGTTCGTTGGCGCGGGGAATGGGGTACCGCGACTTGACTGTTACCCTGTTGAGCGCTCGGTAATCGATGCACATACGAAACCCTCCGTCTTTTTTTGGCGTTAACAGTATCGGTGCGGCGAACGGTGACGAGATCAGTCGGATGAATTTCTTCTCTAACAAGTAATCTAAATGCTTCCTCAGTTTGTCGAGCTCGGGTTGTGTCAGTCCTCAGTCTGACGCGCGGAGTCACGTTCCGCCGCGAGCGTCGCAATTTTGAGCGCTGATTCTTCGACTTGGCGCACGAGACGGTCGAGTTGCTCCTGCGTCAGTGTCGCGAGAGTAAATTCGGCCATGGCAGCGGGTGTCGGGCAAGCTCAACGAGAGCCTCTGTCGTGGCCTGTGCGTGCTTATGAGAGAGCACTACGAGCGGCAGGGTGCTGTGTCGCTGAGAGACGTCTACCCCCCTAAAACATTGAGATAGTGGGGAAGCGAATGTGTGGGTGCGGTCCGAGAAGAGATCGTAGGCTATGAATACTAAGTGTTACGAGTGCAATTGACGTGATGCGAGCGAGAATTGCACTATCGAAGCAAGAGTTCTTTGAGCGAAGGCATGAGTGAAGAATATATAGCGGAAACTACAGTGGTAACGGCAATGGCCTGTGGGTTGTCACGCGACGTGCCTGTGACTTAGGTTTGGGGAAATATCGAAGCGGAGGCCCGGAGAGCGGGTTACCCGCGAGCCGTGAAGGTCGGGTGTGAGACGTGCGAAGGTGGCGGGGAAAATTGTCGATGCGAGGGTTGCGCAGTGGTAACGGTGCTGACTGTGGTGCTACAGTGGTGTACGCGCTGAGCCGGGACGCGAAGTAAGGGAAAGGAATTTTCCTTACAATATGTATATTTGTTTCCCTGTGGTACAGCGTTGTACATTTTCAATGCAGAAATTGAACATAGTTCTGTAACGCGATGACAAGCAGATAGCGCATCACCAGAACGATGAACAGTTTTCGCGCCATTTCATCACCTCATGCAAATGGTTTGCGGAGCAAACGCGACTCGCGCCACAAAAAGCACATTGGCGCCAAGCCAGAATCAGAAAGCTCCCTACCAAAAACGAAGCAACCTTCAGAATGTAGGTTCGGTTGTAACACATTTTTTTTTTTTTTTTGCTTAATGAATCATACACTATGAGTGAACAAGTGTACAACGCATAACAGTCGTAACTGTGCAAGGGAGACGAGAGGACTCGCTCCAGGAATATCTGATCCTCAGACATGGATCCGGGGCCTGCGAGGTTTGCCCCAAAGTGCCAGCAAAAACTGTTGGACCATTTCCATCCTTTGCCATCCACCACCCTGATCCGATCCAGAAGAGTACGTTTCCTGTTCAGTCATTTTCTGCCACCTGGCGAGCTGCCCTTTTCCTCGCTGCTGCACCCTCGTGGCCGAGGCACGTATGTAGACATTCACATGCATGCGGAGCGCTGACTCAATCTTCCGCAGAACTCTCCGCGTGCGGAATTTGCAGCCCCTGAAGGCACCTTCACATCTCTCCACCCACAGCTGATGGAGGGCAATCGCTATCAACGACGCCTCCGGGAATGCTGACCATGGAACCCGCTTCACCGACTAACCAATCACCGAGCGAGTCCTTTTTCCTGGAGGGTGTATCATCCTCAAGGCCCTTTTTTACGCTGAAACCACCCCCTGAGTCCTTGGACACTCTAAAAGCAGTGCTCTAACGTCTCAAACCCTCCACAGTGAGGGCAAACCGGTTTGCTGCTGAGGAACTCCAGCCTCTCCCCGACCTGAAGATTAAGGCAGTGGATACGTAGCAAGACATCCTCGACCGGCTGGGGTGACCAGCGACTCGCGAATTTTGGACTGCCCGTCTTCCAATCAATGCTACCCCCCCAACGGCTTTGCCATCTCCTCCGTCTAGTTTTTCCACTGTCCCCAAGCCTCCAGTGCTTCCTGAGTGGTCTTTAGTGGAACGCCCCCCCTTCCGCTAGCAGCTTCATCCGGAGCTGTGAAGGTCACCCTCTCCCCAGTCATACTCATCCGCGAACCCCACGTCGGAAGCACGTCAGAGAGGAGTTGACGCCTCCATGACGCCGGTGCTGCAGCAAAAGCTTTTTGAGCGCCGAGGTTTGCAGAATCCTTCCCTCTCAGCTCCATCGTTAGGGTTCACAGCTTTTCAGCCACTCCTCGCCCTGCGTGTCTCTCCCAAGAAGTCACCCAAACTGATATTATTGAAGCTGCTTCACGCCTTCCTGTCCCTCCCACCGGGTGTGGAGCCGTCAAGAGGACGTGTCTGTTAAAAGTGATTCTCTCAGCAACAGCTCCTTCAAATCCCGTTGTTCAGTAGAATCCGCCAGCGGGAGAGTGCATGAAGTTCGCGCATGCCAACATCCACCTCTGGCTTTTCCCCTCCCATGTTTTTAGTAGCTTCACATGTGCCGCGAAAGTCTCCAGCCCACGTGGTAGGTCAGCCGCTTGCCGCATCAATGCTCTCTTCAGCTGATCTGGTTTCCGTGAGCGTCAACGCTATCCTCCGAGCCGTCAGACAGGTAAGCATCGCTTCTGGGTTCATCGCCCCCACACCTCCTTCCAGAACCGGCGTAAATAGCAGTCCTTGCTCCAGAGACGGAAACAGTTCTCCGATGAAGCTTTGTTGGCTGACATGAAGTTTGTGAGTCATCTTTAGTAATGACCCCCCAGGTTTGCGCCGGAGGAGGATAGACCTGCGCCTGCGACCATGCGATCGGCAGTATGTAGCCGTCCATCACCGCCGTCCGAGCCTTAATCGGGAGATATTGCGGCTGCCATAACGACATCTTCGCAACCATCTTCTGCAGCGCCTTATCCCATGTCGGCTGGCAGCTTCCGCTCGGCGTAATCCAAACCCCTAGGAGCCTTTCCGCTTCATCTTCTCCGCCCAGCGAAAACCATCCGAGCGCCAAGACTTTTTCCCCAGGTTAGCCCCTAAGGGCATCACCACTGACTTGTCCACGTTCATCTCCAGGCCGGAAATATTCTTAAACTTCTCCAACTCCTCTTCCGCCCTGCCAATTTGTTGCTTCCCTTGCAGAAGGAGAGTTGTATCGTCAGCATAACCGACATATGACAGCTTCTGCCCGACGCAGCTGGTGAGGGAGATACCCAGCTTCCGCTTCATGACCATCTGCGCCAGTGGTTCCACTGCACAGAGGAAGAGGTAAGATGCCAAGGGGCAGCCTTGCCTGACCCCCGAGACTACTTCCACCGCGTCACCCAACCAGCCGTTGATCAACAAGTTCGTTCTCGTGTTCATGTGCAGGCCTCTCACCCATCCAACATAGCGGGCCGGGAACCCCATTTTCTCCATCACCTCAAGGATGAAGTTCGAGACACCAAGTCGAACGCTTTTTTAAAATCGACGAGCAGCATGTACCAGTCTTCGTTCCATTTCTGGCTGCATCGATGACATCAGCGACCAAACCCACCGCATCCGAGATGCGCCTTCCCGGGATAAAGCCAAACTGCTCCGTGAAATCACCCTGTGCAGGACCTTTTTAATTCTGCTCGCCAGAACTCGCGCCAGTAGCTTATAGCTGATGTTCAGCAGCGTGATGGGACGGTAGTTATCTAACTGCTCCTTCGCTCCCTTTTTGTGCAGAAGGATCGTCCGCATCCTTAACACTGGTAGGGAGTGAAGAGGACTGGCTGAACTCCCGGACCAGCTCCATGACATGCTTCCCAAGCTTGTTCCCAGTGCAGCTCAAACACTTCTTTGGTAAGCCATCCTTCCCGGCGTTTGGTTGCTCGCCATCTCATGTAATGTTGTTCTGACCTCCTTCTCCGTCCACTCCTCT